GTGCCGGGCGCGGGCGGACTGTGTGTGCGTGCACCGATGCGCGGCTGTGCGGAGCCGGGCGTGAGAGGCACGGGCAGCGCCGAGCACGGAGCTGTCGCTGCGGACACGTGAGCCCCTCCCGCGGCGCGCGGCATTACATCAGCCGCCCGCCCCGCACCTCTCGCCCTCCGGGTGCTGCGCACAGCCGCCCATCCTCCCGCACCTGGCGGTGTTTGTAAACAGCGCACGGAAACGCCGTTAACGCGCACGTAACCCTCACTGCTTCCCAAAGAAGCCGTCGCCGAAGCGGAGGGGCCGCCCCTCGCCCCGGCCTGCTCCCCTCCCGCAGCTCCCGCGAGCACCAGAAGCCGCTCCGCTGCTCCTCTGTTCCCAATCCCTCCAATTCCAGTAGCATTCGAGCAGGAACTCGCCATTTTCCATCTGATTTATACCAGCACCAAACAATCACCTCCCAAATGGCCCTAGATGTGCCTCTCTCTCTTTCCCCCAATGTTCTCACGCAACACGAGCCCCGAAAGCAGCAGTCTTTCATCTTTAGCGGTGCCAACCCCATCCCTGTGCCCTCCTGCAGCACAGGGCACCCAGCCTGGTCTCCCTGGTCAGTGCTGAGCTGGGCGCAGCGGGACCCCTCTTAGCCTGGGCAGAGGGACGGGCGCCTCAGCACCTTCTCACACTGTACCTGAGGATAAGTTGGGTGCCTTCCTGGCCTGCAGTGATCCCTGAAAATGTGGGCCTTAGACACTGCTGATAAAGTAAATACACAGGGTGTTGCTAAATGAAGGAGATGAGCATTGGTAAATGTCTGTCACCAAACAAAACAAGAGTTTTTTGAAATTAAATCTTCCCTTACATTTCTGCTTCCCTAAAGTCAAAACATTAATGGATATGGCATTGATGGGGATTTTCTTCTCCTCATAAAACCTCTAGTCAGAATCACAAAAATGATGTTCTCTCTTGTTCCTTCTTCTTACTAAAAAACTTTTTTTACTTTGATTGGAAATTCCTGAAGAATATCCAAGAAGTGAGTATAACCACAAGTAAAAATTGTAATCAGAAGTGAACAGAAAGGCTAGCAACTTCAATATACTTTTTGATCAGCACACATGTAACCTTGTACAGTATGACCGAGCTGATGCTGGTAGTATTTCCTAGTTTTGTTTGTCAGCTGCTTCTGCTGAGATCCGTGGTTTGACCCTTTGAAATCTGAGGGAGAGCTTACCCCACTTGGATCCCAGGCCTAAAAATGTTCTCCCTCACTGAAACTGATGGGCCTGCATATCAGAGTAAGGTTCAACAGATGTGCATCATGTTTGGAAGGACCACAGACTATTACAATATATTGGAAAAATATATATAATTTTAACATAGCATTCAGTCAAAACCAGCAGCTGGAAGACAAACTTATTATTTAGTTCCTTGTTAATTTCGTTCCCAGCAATGTCAAATTGTAGTCATACTTATTTATAGGTGTATTGGCATCATATGACCAAAAAAGAAATTAGTCACATCTGTTCTGCAAAACCTGCTGCACTGGGCACACGCTGGCACCCTCACACCACCACTGCCACCCTGCAACCACACCTGGTGCTTTAGGGCAGAATGGGATTAAATTGGCACCGAGATGAGTTAAGTGGGACAGAATCCCAGGTTGCATTGTTGTGGTGGAAGTGGACTCCAGGCCTCAAACCTATGTGTGCACTCCCATATCTCACCACCAATTTACCTTTTTTTACTTTTTTTTTTTCTTTTTTTCCTGTGCTCCTGTGGTGTGAAGCCTTTCAAATGCAAGCCGGTTTCTGTTGCTGGGTCACTAGCTGTGACGGGAACATACAGAGGCCCAAAATAAAATTGGGGTCTCCTAATGACTGATTTGGCCAGTAGGTGTTATTGCTGCAAAAGTTTTAAAGAGCAAAATCCAGAGAGGTCTGTTATGGAATCAAATAGCAACAACACAAAAGGCCACAGTGTTTTCCAAAAGCCTTTTTTTTTTTTACGTTAGAAATAACACCAGTGCTTTTCTCATATTCCCATTCTCACAATGTCCAAGCACAAGGTTTGGCCCAGGTTTTTTGTATAGCTGCACTGACACCGAGTGAGGGCTCTTCCCCTTTACGTATGTTAGGCCAATACACGGAAGCCAGCTTAGCTGACTCTTACACAACCAGTGGAACTAGCTTCGAATTTCATATGGTCTCTGCAAAATGCATGAAAGAAAAAATGGCAGCTCCTTATGTGCAGTTTGCATGGTTATATAAACTAAAAAAAAAAAAAAGAAGAAATAGATCCAGAATAATTGTTCAAACAGAGGAGCTTGTGCTGACAGAATTATCTTGAAGACGGTGAGGAGGACCATGTAACTGCTAAGAGAAAAACCTGAACTCCAATGAGCTGACAAAACACTGAAGACCTTCCAGGAATATCCACCAAAGACCGCTGTAACCCTCTTTTGGAGTCCTTGTGCCTTTGAATGCCTTTGCTGGACATGTAGATTGAGGCTTCTGGTCAGCATGGTATAAAAAGACATGAAAATTAATATAAAGGTTAATTGTAGATCCCACTACTGTAAACAAAAGTACGTGCTTAAGTCTAAACATGCCAGAAGTCTGAGGCAGCATTTTCAGGACCAGAATCTTAATTTTCTTTCCCATTTTCCAAATGTCTATTTTTAAGGAGTGCAGCAGCTGAGCTCAGATGAGGTAGGCAAAGGCCTTTCTGGTCTTGTGCCTCTGTTCCCAGGCATTCCCCTTCTGCAGACAGATTTTGCAGATTCCAAATCTGTTTATTTTTCCTCCATTTCTCTAGCTTCAGATCTAACATTAGGACTCTCTGTAGGGAAAAATTGTGCATAAATACAGAGTAACCTATTTTGCATTATTTTGTTTTGTTGTTTTTTTTTTTGCTTCCCTGTTATTCATTGTATCTGACAGCTGGGGAATGCACTGTCTTATGCTGTCAAGGAGCAATGTCTCGCTGCCCTTTCCGAGCAGCCAATACGAAGGGTGGGTGCTCTTCCCTGTTTCCTGTCAGATGAGAGAGATCTGCCATCTTATTTCTAACATGGGCCAAGAAGAGATGTGCACATTCATCGACTAAGCTGAGGGTAATAGGCGGATAAACAATGAAATTCTGCTACCTTTATCCTCAAGGCAAGCATAAAACAAATTCTGTGAGGATAATTGACTTTAAAGTCTTGCTAAAAAAGACACTTTCCAAAAGCTTTAAACACTGGTTCAGTGAACTCCATCTTGATGCCTTCTTTGCAGCTCTTCTCCCCCGGGGATGTATGTCACCGTATCTCCTGAGCTATGCCCAAGACAACTCCCTCTGATTTTCTTTATTTTGTTACCTGTTCATATGCAGCACTGGTAAAAAGGAAATGCGATAACTAGTCGTGCCCATAACCAATTTTAATATATACTTCAGCTTGTATTTTTCAATCATTTAAAAAAAGAATCCGGTTTACCTAGAAGACCTTCAAACTCATGTCATGATAATTGACAGGAGAAATTGGGCTGTGTTCAAATGTGGCAGTGAAAAAGGGGCTATTTTAATTCTAAAAAAACAGGAAAACCTGCTTGATCAGGGCTTTGCTGAACTTTGCTGCTTCTGGAAGCAGCTTGTGTATAGTGAGTGTGAGCAGTGTGTGGTGAGCAGTATTGCAACCTGCCAAATAATGGGAAACACAAGGAAGTATGAAGCAGGCCCCACAGTCACAAGTCCATCTCCAACAAAGGACAAGTATTAGCTACCACACTGACTCTGTTACAGAAATTGTTTTCCTGGAAACCATCCTTGCTGTCTCCAGTTCTTCTCTGCTTTGCTGTCCCTGTTGTCTTTTATACCTCTGCGAGGCACTTTAAGGTGCTAACAAAATGGATATGCAGCCCTGACTCTGTGCGGTTGCAGACGATCATCAGATGCAAGATAGCGATGGCCTAGGCTCACATAGGCCTGGCTACAGCTTGCCCTGGTAGGGCAGACGAGGAGTGTGGTGTTATGCTGGGATGATACACAGATTGTTTACATTCTGGAAGTCACAATCACCCAATTAAATTTCCAAGTCCATTCAGGTTCTTTGATGATATGGACAGTTTGAAACTTTTTGTTTCTATAATCTTCTTTGCAGTGCAATAAATCTTACTAAAACACATCTCAGTGTAATTTCAGACAAGCTGCTGAGCTTGAAAAAATTGTGACTATGGTGTTTCTATAACCTGCATAGCTGTATTCAACTACTGCAGACTAAGAAAGTTACTTAAAAGGGGACAGTGGGTCATGAAAGTAATGACTCAGACTGTCTTGTTCAAGGCTGATGAGTAGGAAGGAAGGCTGTCATTGAAAGGAGTTTGATGCTTAGCTGAGTCATGTTTCAAACTGACATCCTTTCATTTTCAGTGTTACTGAATATTTGATAACCTTGCTGGTAGAAGTTAGGGTTAAAAATATTTTTAGTTAGACTACTCTGCAGTTGCTTTGTCTTTCACTTGTCTTTCATTCTGACTCAGAGGCTCAGTTTTAGGGAGACTGACAGAATCAAAGGTAAGGAGAGAGAAATACATGCAAGTTTCATATAACAAAGCAAGCAGCACAACACTTCTGTCATTTTTTTTTCTTCAGTAGTAATCTGAAAATTCAAAAGTAATTGTTGCCTACCTGCAATGTCTGACTACAAGGACCAGGACAGCTCCTGTTTGCAGGGACACCTCCTGTGAATTGCATTGTCACATGCATTGGTGGCCACTGGCAGATAATTGTGACCCAGTTAAGGTCACTGCATAACATAGTAATGTAGATGTGACAGGATGGGAGAGCACCAAATTCCCAGACTCAGAGCCAAGTAGAACAGACCCCAGTACAAGAAACTCTGAGTTTCAGTTGTGTTGGTTCAAGAGCTGCATTCCCATATGAACAGTGGATGTCCTAAATTGGTGCCTGAAGGAATCCTCGAGGATTTCCAAGCACCCTGAGAAATTTGTTTGCATTTTCTCCTGTATGTAAATGGACAAGACAATGATCCAGTGATACAGAAGCACTTTAAACTATAGCAGTTGCCCTTTGATTCCTCATCTTGCAAGCACAATGTGTTTGTCAAACACCAGTTTGGGAACACAATTATTAGTTTTTTTTTTCTCACAGAAGTTGTCCCCAGAAATGAAGGGAAAAGAAAACACTGCTTGCACATTATGCCTGCAAAGCAGACAGGTAGCCTCACACCCCAATACAATGCTATAGTCTCATGTTTTGTCTTATCTGTTTCTTCTTTAAGCTGCCTGTCCTTGACAAGACAGTACTGTACAGGCCAAGATCAAAGCAGTCATGTCGCATCACTACTAGCTCATGTCTCTGGTTTAATACTTCTGTTCTTTCTGGTCAAAACTTTAATCCTCCTCCTGCTCATCTACTGGCACATAACTCCACCCTCTCCAAGGACCATGTCTGTTCATGCGAGTGCTCCAAGCTGTCAGGATGCTCTCTTCCACGCAATCTTTAGCCTGAAGGTCTGTTTCAAGTGACTCTCCATAGCATTCCTGCCTGCAGACACTGCACCGTCAGCATCGATGGCCTGTGCCTGTGACCACGAGCAGTGCTATTGGTGCCTGATCAGGATGCAGCAGGAAACGTCTGGCCTCCACAACCATCTGCTAAAACCAGGCCTCCTCTGGCAGGAGTCCAACACAAAGTAAACAGAGTTTCACAGCCAGATTTCAAACTACAAAATAACTGAGAAATATGGCTCTCTGCTCCTAGTTTTCAAATTCAAGACATGGAGGCCTCTAGAATCAAAAATCTTTTGTGGATTCTAGGACCTTTTGGTTTCCAAATGGATTCATCACATTAGGGAGAAAGTGCTCTGATATAGTTATTTTAATTAGCTAATTAGTTTAGTTTAAGCATTTGCTAATTTTTAAGATGGTTTCTTTTCCAAAATCAGTGATGGAGAAAAATTAAATTGTCAAACTGGAGACCTCAGCTTGCAATACGTGTTCAGGAAACTATGTACAGAGATAGAATAGTTCTGAACATTGATATTGTAGGATATTTTTCATGGTATAAGAGAGAGAGAAGGACTCAATGAAGTGTGAATGATTTTTTAAAAGAACAGATTGCCATGTCTTTTAAAATAGGTCAAGTTTTTGGCCTAGTTTTTCAGGGTGTCCCTTAAAGCAACAAGGTTTAATATTAAAAACAAATAGCACCATTGTGTTTTTGTTTCTAGCCACATCTATATATGTATGTTTTAGGGCAGAAATGTTCCAGTGTAAGAATAGAATGGCAAAGACTATCTCAAGCAACATTTCTGAGCAAGTGACACTCAATAGTAAAACCTCACTGGTGGCCACACTTCATCCTTAATGTGAAATGTTAATCTGAAACAAGCAGAGGAAAAACAAACTGTAAATAAAGGAGATTGCCAATGAAGCCAACACCTGTAGACCCAACGCCTGTCAAATTTTGCTCCCCTAAGTCCCTGGAAATTTAGTAGCATTGTTTGCTTTCCATTTTGAAGCTGATTAATTCAATTGATTAATTTGATTTAAGTAGAAACAGAAATACAACAATGACATTCAGATTGAAGGTACACAAGATAGTACTTGAACGAACTTACTGAAAGGAGATAAAATACAACTGTCAAAGCAAAAAGAATCTGTATGTATGTATTTAGATTCTAAAAATGGACATTCGAGATATTTTAAACAGTGAGAAATTCCGCCTGCAGTGTTAATTAATATAGAATAAATACAATTTGTCTTCTGTGTAAGTGCAGTCTGGTACATATGCTTACAGACACACCTTTGTTCTGAGAACATAGGTATAATGCATGCATATATAATGATGTTACAAAGACTTAATTATTCAACATAATACAGCAGTAATTGAAGTTAACCTTAGTGCATCTGTATGGATTGAGGCAAGGCATGACTAGGATTTCCTCCATCCCAGAGCTCTAGAAAAAGACCAGGTACAAATCAAGAGTGGTTATGCTTGGAGAGTACATAGACAAGGCTTGTCTCTCTACCTACACTCCCCTGAGGCAGAGATGGCAGCTTGGTGGATCTTTATTAAAATATATATTTTTTCCCCTACTAAGATGATCCATAAGGGATAGTGCCCTTCAGGCACAACCCTTCAAGAATGTACCTTCTTGTGGTAAAACTCTGCATTGACCCAATGCACAGTAATAAATATCAGTTGGCTCACAATTTTGTACAGTAATAAAGACACTGAATAGCTTGTCAGTGCATGCTTCAGGAAAGAAGCACAATCTGGAACAACGGGGTCTTGGAATACACTTGGAATACAAATCTTCTGCAAGTTGTGGACTTCATTATGAAAACTGTTCATGAATCTAATTAATCTGTGGCCGAAGACAATGCAAAAGCATCTCTAGCATCTATTATGCTATTTCTTTGTGTCCTATTATGTAACAGGACAGTTATGAGAAAACCTTTGTTTTAACAATTAACGCTATTTTGCATTAAGATTTGTAGTTGTAACTACCATCATAGACTAGAACCTTTATTTTTTACCTGGTCCTACTCCACACCCTCTGCTGATGGACCAGAATGAACTGGTACATGTGTGGCTTTGTGTGTACAGTTAATGACACACTAAGGCAAGAAGAAGAAGGAGAAAGAGGATCTTCCCTCACAAGAAGGAGAAAGAGGATCTTTCTCTTTACAAAATACCACAAAGTGCAGGAAAACTCATTCAGAGAGCTCCCAGGGATACTGATTTGTGAACAGCTCTTTTTCACATATTAACTCCCACTACTTCCTGTACAACAAGAATACTGTGCACACAGATCTGTTTTCAGTTTTCTCACTGGTGGTTTCTCCCAATACTACTCATATATCAAGATCACTTTCACTTCATAACAGTTCACAAATTCTTCCAATAGTAATCCTGTTGTGTTTCTTTGTCTGCTATAGTCTAAATAATTAAGAGATGCCAGGCAGATGTTAAGTAGCAGTAAAATGTTACTATCTCTGTAATTCCTCGTACAGTAGCTGACAAAGTCTTATTTTGCAAAGAATCCTACTGAAAGGTCATTCTCAGTATGAATATGTGATTGCATAATTACTCAGTAAGGACTTGGGGACTAAATCTCATTCATTTTATAATCTGAGTCAAGTTGGGGAAAAAAAATCACATTGTCTATTTGAATTGAACATGTTTATAATGTTCACAGGGAGTTCTCCTCCCCTGCACAGTGCTCAGTGGAGCAGGTACAATACTTTTTATTATCACAATGAAATGTATGAAAGGAAAGATTGATTAATTTTCTTTGTTTATGACACTATACATAGATCCAAATTCTTAATACCTCCCCTTACCTTTGTAGGAAATTTGTAGTGTGTGATCTTGAACACAGTATCATGTCCAGGTTTCATGTGGAAAACAGCAGCTCTGTGTAGAATACCTGTTATAGGGAACATACAGAACAATTACATTGTGTGCTGATGTAAAGTGACTGGCTCATCTGTCTGAAGGACAGGATTTTACTCTGTTGGATTGAAGCAACTTCTGTGAGATTGGAGCCAAGAATATTTGAAAAGAAAATGTTGCTCACAATCTATCTGGCTGAAATCCTATACTTATCTCATCTAGGCAATAGGTTTAGCTAAGAGCCAAAATCTAGCTGTATGGAAGGGTACTACTGAGATGAGGATAAAGCTTTTTAAGGGAATTCAGTCCCTGGGCAGCTAACCACATGGAATTGTGGTGGATGGGGAGTGGTGGGTTCCCATGTCAGATGAGCATGGCAGTGAATGAGTCAGCATTGGTGGCTGTAGTCTTCTTTGTACCCACAGTGATCTTTGTGGTGTTAATCAACATGTTTGGGTTGGATCCTCAATATAGCAAAGAAGTCTACAGCAAATCAGTTCAGATAGTAGAAAAATTACATCCTTTTTCAAGATGCTTTGTCAACATCTTAACAGTTTATTGCCAAAACTTCTAATTAGTTTAACAGTTACAATATCACAGCTCTTACAAATCAACACCACATACAGCCAAGAAACAGCTGTTCTCATACTCACAGGCTTCTAACATTTATCTAACAATTCAAAAGAAAAACAGAATAAAGTATTAACATCAATATGAGAAAGGAATTCATGTCCTCTGTTATTTTAAAGTGAACTCAAGAAATGTCTGATATATTTAAATGGTTTTTTAATAAATGTTATGTGTGAAAATATGGAAATTCAGATAAAAGCTGCTAGTTTACAACTGATGTGATTTGGGCATGGGAGCAAATGTGGCTATTAAGATGAATAAAATCCTGGACTTTACTGTTTGGGACAGCTCTCTGAGGTTTTCAGCTTTCAGTTTTCAGTTTTAGTGTGAATATGCTATATTGGAGCAGTTCAGTTTACAAACCAGCGCCCTTCAGGCCTGGGTTTTTTATATAAGAATAACATAAATAAACAAATAGGTCACCTTGCTAACTTGATTTTCCTGTGGCAGATCACTTTCTTCCCTTCAGGAAGTGAAGAATAGGCCTCTTTCAGTGTCACGAAGATAGAAAGTAGTGAAAGCTTTCCCTGTGCTCATCATTTTTACTTCAACCTGCAGAACAAGTTGATTACACTGTGTCAAGTAAAATTTCCTGTGTTATGAGGATATTTTAGTTTTATATTTTTTATTTTTTTGTTAGGTTTCATTTTGTTCCCCTTTCAGGTTTTTAAGAAGTCCTCTCCCTGAATTCTGGCAGAACCCAAGCTCAAGATTCCAACTGTCTAAGCCAAGTTTAAGAATACTGCTATTTACATGGTGCAGTAAGGGCCAGTTAGCCAAGTCTGGTATCAGTCCAGGAGTAATCCTTTCCACAGATACAGGCTGTGTTCTGTCCACAGTCAGGAGGCAGGTTGGACAGAAGTAATGTGGAGTCCTTTTATTAACACAGCAGGCACCCAACTTAGAGCTGTGCCTATTTAGGCTTCTAAAAACAGTTTGCACTGAACGTGCCCTCTGGTTTCCTGGCAGGGCTACTCCCATACCAGTAACTTGATACATGCACTCATGGTCACCATAACACCAGCCAAGCACATGGAAATAAGACCATCTTTAGAAAATACCTCAATGGGTTAAAACAGTAGGGCACAGCTACCGAAGCCATGTTTGAGATTCCTCACCCTGCAAGGCAGAGAGAAGGGCTTGGTACTTTCTGGTTGTTGGCAGCTCAAAGAGGAAAAGGATGATTGTGCAAATGGCAACTTCTTGCATAGAAAGTCTTTCCAGAATTAAACAATTGAGAAGTTTGACTTCAAGTTGCCTTTTCCTTCTGGCACTGAGGTGGAGGAGGGAGCAGGAAGGTATCAGCTCTCCTAATGGTTTGCAGAGTGATTAACTACATGCTGCAGGCCCAAATTCAGCCCTATTCATACTGCTGCAGCTTATAGGGTATGATACAGCGTTACAACCATCTTTGAGGACAAACATTGTCATGGCAGGGATACAGAAATTTATTACTAGCAATCTAATTGCTGAAAGGGAAACAACTTTTTACACATAAATGCATGGTAAACAGTTAGAAAATATGATCTTTTTAGTTTTATCCACAGCACATTTAATCTCAGATTACATATGCAGACATGGAAAGTACTGGCGTGACATTTAAACATACCAAACCTGTCCCATTGTAAGATTTTTTGTTATTATTATTTTTTTTTAAATTTTGACTAATTCTTGTATAGAAAGATCTATGATCATAGTACATGGTCATTTCTTGGCCATGTGAAAATATTACTTTACTTTTCAAACTTTCTCCCTTCATTTCTGAAAGCATAGGCAAGTTAAAAAATAATCATAGCTTAGTCATAAAATCAGTATGTCAATATTTACTTGGCGCTCCTTCATGTCTTGGTCTTTCTTTGCTATTCTGATGCTTCAACTAAGTCCAGTATGCGTCATCAGGCCCTGGATCTAATAACTTGGGAAGATGATATTTTAAGATGCATTTGCATTAGCAAGCGAAAATCCAAATGGTGTGTGGAAAAGTGTGCTGAGCATGATGCAAAATAATTGCCAAAAGAGGAATTGAGATATAATAAGGTGGAAAAAAAGCACAATGTGAACAGTGAGAAGGGCTGCGGGTGCATTTGCAGGTTCCTCATGCAGATGGTAAAATTTGATTTTTTTTACATTTCTTTACAAATAAAGATGCAGTTATGACATAATTGATTCAAATCTATTTTTAAATCCGTTCGTCTGAGTTTCTGACACCAGCTTTTAGCGGTCTAAGGAAATTCTTTTAAGAAAAGAATTCAGGCTTCAAAACTCCCAACCACTGCTTCAACCAGGGCAACAGCTGGCGTCCTGGGCACCGTCTGGAAGAAAGAGCAGTTTAAGAGCTATCGGATTGCTTTTCCATCTCACTGGTTTTACAGTTTCATAGTTGTGACTTACTGGGGATCTAACTTGGATATTGATAGATATTTCAGTGTAAATATCATTTATCTCCCTAGAAGTGGAGGCTTTCTTTTCAGTGCAATAGGAGAAGGCCCCCTGCTTTACCAGGGCAGCAGATGGGCAAAGTGAGTGAACACTGTTAGCTTCTTTTTCAGTGCTTGTACGTAAGCACTGCTGCATCTGAAACCAAATTACTATAGCATTTAGTGCAAAGAGTAAATCACAGCAAGTATGAAACTGAAAGTACTGCTACATATATAGTGTGTTTCTTTCAGAGCATTTCCACCCAAAAGTGTGACTGTTAGATGTAAAACAGACTCTCTCATTCATGCTTTAGATTTCTTTTTTTTTTCCATAGTTTTGTCAAACCTACAGTTTGGAGACTACAAAATAAGTTTTATATCCCAAACAGCTTTATCACAAATGATTATATGAGAATGCTACCTTTCTCTTTGTGTTCAAATTGTCTTTTAATGTTGGTAGTGTTTTCTTGGGGCTGGCAATATTGCATGGTCAGAGAATGCACTTGAAACACAGCACAATGGTTTTAGGGGAGCATACCTGAATTCCCCCAGTGAACTGGCATCTGAGTCCTTGTCTGGGGAGCAACAATATGACACAAAGCATCACACAAGTGGTTCCAAATCGTTTGCTTTTTTTTAAGTTCTCAGACACTTGTGGAAAACAATCTTAGCATGATGTTATTGCCAAGCGTGCACAAGCCTCTTCCCAAAAGACTGGCTTGTGAGTTAATAATGTACTTTGTGCATTTGCAACACAATTGCTAGGCAGAGCACACTTTGCGTACTGCCCTGCTCTGCAGCTTGCCTCAGTTCAGGCACACTCATTCAAGCTGCTCTTCTAAAAGCTGCAGCTTTAAAATTTTCTCCACTGTTCATTTCCCTCCTAAAAATCTCCCACATAAGCATTCTTACTCCTGCAGTTTCACCAATGCTAGCAAGTGTGGGAGGGCTGGCATTTTTGGTACAAGCACATTTGGACTCTCACTACAATGTCTGCTCTGCTCCCCTGAATACATTTGCAATTAATCAGAGGGACCTACGACAAAGGGTGGTGTACTGTGAAAGGTATCTACTGCGTTAGGACTTAATATCCCCTCATTTCATGCAGATAGCGATGCTCTCCTCCCCCAAGAACTCCCTCTTTTTCTAGAAATTACTGAATGAGAAAAAGTTCTGTCAGAGGAAACTGAAAACAATAAAAGATCCCTGATCTGCTCATGAAAAGTGCTGTAAGAAAGCCAGGCTCTGTACCATTATACTATATAATATAGAGTAGCAAATCGTTATTGAAATTGAAGCTGTTCATTTTCAAATAGATCATATGTGGAGATGAACACTGTTCAGATTATCCTCATTACTAGAGGGAAGGTACATTTTACATTGATTTTCACACAAATACCGTATGATGTTACGTGGTACATATTCAAATAGCTGGAATCCATTAAAACCATGCTCCAGCTGTGCAATCACTGTCCTCACAAAGATACATTTTTACATGTGGTTAATGCCAGGAAGAATCCACAACTTCAATTATGAGATCACCAAAATATGTTGTTTATTGCAGAGAAAAGCATTTGTAGCTTTTTGTTGTGTTTTTTTTTTTTTAAATATCCAGCCAACACCACACTACTAAAGCTAGATAATAGAAATCCTGGAGAAATTTGAGCTAAATCTGTCTGGATTATAGCTGTGGGATTATCTGAATGCTAAATTACTGTATATGTTTTACTCGTAAGCATAGCATAGACAGTATGGGAAGATGGATGACTATGCAGATCGCAATAAAATCCATCCCCAGGAGACTTTTTAATACACGAGGTAAACAACCCCTCTCAATTTATCAAGCACTCTGGATTGAATTAATGCTGTCATTTACTTTGCTGTTGCTGTGTAGAGAAATACGGTTTAACTTAAACAGCTCCTTTCACAGCAGAAAAACAAAGGTTTTCCCTTTGCATCCTTCATAACACGTCATGCAGGAATATTAATTGGCTGCGGTGTTTGTGTAACTGAATTAAAGAAAACACAACTGTAGTTTACTGTGTAATCAGAAAACCAAATTATATGCAATATTTAGAAAAAAGATTAACTCCATCTGCCTTGTTAAACCTTCCCTTCCCCTCCCCCGTTGTTTACACACCAGAATTTCTGGCTTTCTAAGGACATACAGTGAGTGAACCTGGATTGACCTGACACATAGCATCTCAGAATTTCCCCTTGAGTGATTCACAGATGTGTGAGCTGCGACCAAAAAAAGCAAAGAGAAAAAATGCAGGGCACTGTACAGTCTGAGTGTATCTGAAAGAGGTGATACTGAGTGTGCCATGTCTGAGTCCCTCCTCTACTGCAAGTGCACAGCAATGGATTACAAACACATTCCTTTGGTAGCCAATTCAGCTCTGTTTGACAATTGCAAGTGAAATTACTTCCAGCTATAGTGGGGCAGGGGCTATTCTAATTCCTATTATTCTCCTGACATGTATTACTGCTCGCTGGTGCTTTCTTGACATTTTGAGTAGTTATGCCACATGTTTATGTACCACACAGCTATATGACACGTGAAGCAATCGGGCAGGCTTTCCTAGGGAAGCAGGCTAGACAGTAATTTCTGCTCCCTGTGAACAGATATCAGATGATATAGAAATGTTCACTTTCATTTCCTTCTTTCACAGTCAAAGATGGTATGTGGCTTTGTAAACAGATTAAATACAATTTTAGATCCTGGGAAGCTGTCAATGTAATCCTTTGGTCAAAGTACAGACAAACAAACAAAAGAATCGACCTTAGCCAGAAAGCTCAGCTGCATCCAGCTTTTAAGATTTATAATTTTTAGCAGAAGACAGATTTAGAAAGAGCATCAAAATGTTTTGTTTTTTTTTTACTAAGGAAAGACTGTTATGAATATATGCCCTTGAAATTTGAACATGATAGCTGGTATTCTCAAACTGTGCATATAAGGTAGCAGATTTGGGTTGTCAGACCCTTTGATGTTTGATAGAGAAAAGTGGGCTCTGTTCTTCATCTTTTCTCCCTCAACCAAATAAGTCGTTTCCTACAATTTCTGCTGCTTCTTGCACTTCCACCTGCTTTTGTGGTGAACGTCTGAGAACTAGTTGACCTAGAACACTAAAGCTT